AACTGTAAACCCTAAATCCAGAACCCTTAATCGCAAGTGTAAACCCTAAACCCTAAATGCAGTCAGGGGTTATCTTCAGATTCTGCTGCTGCAGGCTGAGAGACACTGCAATAGAAGTTGTCCACCAGGTCAAGGTTTCAGGGTTCAGTGCTTAAGGTTTAGGGATTAGGGTTTAAGATTTAAAGTTTGAGGCTTGGGGTCTAAGGTTTAGGGATATGGTGCAAGATGCGAGATTTAGGGTTAAAGGCTTGGGGTTTAAAGTTTAGGGATTAGGTTTTAAGATCTCAGATTCAAGCTTATGGGTAGGGTTTAAGGTTCAGGGTTTCCTTCAAGCTCCAAAATATCAACTTCATGATTATCATATGTTTCATATAGCGTCCCCATTACAAGTAATACTTTTATGCTCCTGCAACATAGGCTTGATACAGGAGACCCTGCAGGACAGTCCTTTGCCATAATACCACATTTCCAAGTACGAGGAACTTAGGGTCATTGTTTAGTACCGTAGTAGTTGGTTGAAAGGGGGTTATAGCTTGACGGCGGTTCGCAGGAAAGACAATGAGAACGTGGTTCACTTAAATGTGATTTGTAAGCCCTATACTTTAAACCCTAAGCCCTCAATTCAAACCCTAAACCGTAAATTTGAACTTTGGGCCTTCCCTACAGGTCCAAATATGCAGCAAGGGTCCAGTCACTTGATGAGGTTCTATAGGCATCAATAATCATATGGGTGGTTGTCAAAATTATGGCCGTACCCTAAATTTTCGGTGCCGTATTACAATAGGGATCCAAAAAGGGACCATTATTCTGACAACCACCCATATATGAGTTGTAGGGTGCAGGGTCCGAAATACCTAATGATTGAGTAGTACAACTCTCGGGCCGGTGTTTGAATGTTGAGTACTGGGATATTGAGCGCTTAAAACCCAAATGCCCTGAAAATCTTACACTTCAAACCCTAAGCCCTGAACCCTAAACCGTAAGCCCTAGGCCCTAAGCCCTAAACTTTCAACCCTAAATCGTAAACCCTACATTGTAGCCGTGGCCTTCGGCAAGGCTGCATGGGGATGCTGTCTCAGTCACAAAGGGCTGTTTAGCCACAGAAGAGGAATTCCTACGGTCCCCATGATGAAATTTAGGGTCCAGGGTTTGGGTTTTTAGGGTTTGGAGTTTAAAGTTTAGGATCTATTTAGGGCGTAGAATAAGAAACTTTCTTAAACGCACAGGTCTACTTTAAACCCTCGACCCTCTCTGCCCGGCCTCTGTTTGCTTCGAGGAGGTGACATCCAACCATTATCAGACAAGGGCTCTACAGTTCATAACTGGTTTAGGGTTTAGGATTTAGGGTTCTACAGTTAATAACTAGCTACTCCTGGGTCTTCAGGCCCATTGATAGGCGTTCCAATTGGCCTTATGCAAGTCACCCTTCAACTATTGTCGGTAGCTAGATTTTTACTTGGATGATCTGTTGACTTAGTAAGTCTACCTACTATCCCTAATAGTCCTTCATGAGCTCCATAACCCCTTGTTGCCACGTAGACTTCTGAAGTCAAGAGAGCCTCCAAGCATGTCCCAAGAACCTCCAAGTAGGCGTGAGACCCCTCAATCCCTATTGGGCGTTCAGCTTAAACATTCTGGTTAGGCCATCTAAAAAACAACCCCTCTGTGCTCCTAAACCCTAAACCCACCCATCCCTACAATCCAAAGGCTACCCCTTTTTGGAGAGCCTCCTCAAAGACACGGGTTTGAGACTAAACATGATTAGCAGTCCCCACTTCGAGGTTCATGCGGCTTGGGCAGGAAGTATCGGTTTAGGGCTTAGTGTGGACTATATAGCTGGATTTAGAGCGCTAAACTAAACCCCCACGGAGCCTCGCCAAGTTCCTTGCGTGCAGCCGTGAGAGCCTGCAAAAATGTTCTCCATGCACCGCTCAAAACAGGGGCTATCGGGACACTAGGGGTGGAGACTTAGCGGGGTTGCTGCTCAGGAACTTAAATCAAGTTATCTTAATATGGTACATAGTAGATAATACAGTAACTCCGCTTAAGTTCCGCAACAGCAACCCAGTTAGGCCATAGTTGAAGTTAGTTCGAGAGCCTTGGGTAAAATGCTCCCCAAAATAATATTGTCACTGTTTGATAGAATGCACTGTATGGGCTTTAAAGATTATCTGTATCATTTTGAAGTCTTTTTGTTGTACCCTAGGCCATAATAATACGAGGAATTTAGGATCATAATGCTGGATTCTACACTATCTAAGTACGGAAGGAGTTGGGTGTTTCACAAGAGCGGAGGAAATTTATCGAAAGAAACTGGGAAGTTGAAACTTAGCGCGTTTTTCGAGATTGAAGGTTTCAGATCTGGGATTTGGAGTGAAGAGGGTAAGGTCCAGGATCCTTATAAGCCCTAAACCCTAAACTCTAAACCCTAAACCCCCTTAGGGCTTAGGACTTGAGCAGGATAGTTCTTGGGATTCAGGGTTTAGGGTTTAGGGTTTAGGGGATCTGAGGGCGGTGGTTTGGGGAGCTCTGTTGGCTTCAGGCGTTGTGCCGGAGGTTTATACATTGGCCCCTCCGGGCCCTCATCACAACTTGCGAGCTCGCGCAAGAATAAGACGGGCGCGCAAGCGGTCATTGCAACTATTTCAAAAGTTTGCCGTACATATGTGAATATGTGTATCTATATAAAAATATTTACACATACATACACACATCCATATCTACCTATCTACATTCTATATATTGACAGGAACAGTTTTGACTATCGAGTTGCTAGAGTATATCCCTGTACGCATCGATCTGGCTAGATGATGACTATGCGCTGTCTGTGCTTCTAATGTCAACTGCACTTCCGCGGTCCAATTTCGACCCAACACCCGCCCTAAACCGACTCACCCTATGGCCTACAACTCCAAGCCCACAACCACGTAGTCAGCTAAACCTTAAACCCCAAACTCTAAACCTGAACCATAGAAACCCAAAGAACCCTAAGTAGATATTATCTAAAGATATACGTAGATGCCCAAGATAAACTCTATAAACCCTACACCCTGAACCCTAAATCCTAAACCCTAACTTTGTTTTGCCCCGCATGGCTAAACTTGGCAGCATCAGCTTGCCGGCATGCAAAGCCTTGCACGCAATGGGCATTCAGGGGTTTAGGGGTTCAGGGGTTTAGGGTTTAGGGTTTAGGGCGTTCAGGGGTTTAGGGTTTAGGGCTTTGGGAGTTGAGGGTTTAGGGTTGTGTCTGGGTAGGGTTCAGGGTTTGGGACACCCAATTTTCAGGCCCTGTTATAGTCAAAGGATAGGTATAGGGTCCTAATTTCGGGGACAGGCTTACCAAACTTCTTTTGGACTGTAGCCCTAGAACTCAATTAAATTGATAGCTACTGTCCCCAAATCCCAGTGCGAAGGAATATAAGCTATAGCCCACGAACCTACTGTGTTATGCGGATGTAGTTTACGGGCTTCCGGTTTAAGAGTAAAAGGAATATACGAGGACCCTGAATAGAATCACCATCATACCTTACGACCATCTTACAGTGAGGGGTGGCGGTCCGCATGAATTCTATCCAACCCTGTCTAAGTTGCCAATAGTTGAATACTTTAAAGTTGTAGAAGTTGTAGTCCAGGTTGGGGGATGCATACGAATATTCTGTACAAATTCCTGAGGCTCGTAGCGGAGCGCAAACCTTCAAGGTTTCGTTATTCTTCTTTAGGGACAACTGGAGCCCAACAGCCTAAACCATTCAATCCTAAAGCCTAAACCCCTAAACTTAAAATCCTACACCCTGAACCCTAAAACTCTACAACCTTAAGCCCTGAACCCTAAACCTGAGCCGAGATGTGGTAGAACGTAAACACAGACATGCCCCAAACAAAACACACAGCCAATCTGCACCGCACGTAGGGTTCAGGGTTACTTGCGGTTTAAGGTTCAGGTTTAAGGCTCAGGGCCTACAGTCTGATAAGGTTTAGGGTTGAAATTGAAGGTTCAGGGCTTACGATTTAAGGTCTCAGGGCCTGCGGTTTAGGTTTTAGGTCTTATGTTGAAGGTTCAGGGCTTAGGGATTAAGGTTCATAGGCCAGCTTCGTCTCCCACGTAAAACGAACTGAGTACTCGCTTTCTTATGAAAGCACCAATTCGAGGAGGCCAGGCAATCATGTTTGCAAGGGGTAGGCAGGCACCAATAAACCGTAAACCCTAAACCTTAAGCCCTAAACCCAAACCAATTACCACAGCAATCCAATCTTCCCATCCCCACAAGCCACCAAAAAACGTCCCCATTTCTGCCGTCCGGCAGATGGAGCCTTACGAAACCTGCATGCATGTAGTTGAGTTGTTCTCAAAATTATTCCTTTTGGTTATAAATTATATAACGGCACCTGATATTTCGGGGTACCAAAAGGGGACCCTAATTTTGGGAACTCCCCATTTCCTGGCGATGAAGCACATGACAATTGGGAGCCCTTGTATCCCAGCGCGCGGCCTGCGCAACCTGCAGCCGGAATCTCAAGTCACCCTAACCCACACTGCCAACCTGCAGATCCAATCTACATCCCGAAACAACCTCCTTCAGCCATGGACTTAAGACCCCAACCCAAAAATCTTCAATCCAGAGCCCTAAGCCCAAACCCTCAGCAGGAAAACCACAACCAGGCATACCTACTATATACCAAATATGTACCCTTTAAGGGCCCCTAGAATCATCCCAAAAGGCCTAAGGGCCCATATTAGGGGCCCATACTTCTGACCGTATAGTCCCCCTCAGTAGATAAAATATGGCTTTGGGTATTTGATAATAAGATCCTCATATACCCCATATTCTATCTACAAGAGGGAACTATAAACCGAAACCCTAAACCCTAAACCCTAAACCCCTAAACCCCAAACCCTAAACCCCAAACCCTTAACCCTCAACCCCATGGGTCTATACAATATACTGTATATTCTATCTACTTAAGGGGACTATAAACCGAGACCCTCAACCAGGAGCCTCTCAGCTCTTCGCCGGTGCAGCACCGGCCTTGTCGGCGGGGCGGTCGCCGATCTTGCAGTCTTTGCCTGATGTTTACGTGGCACTCAGGACCCCTACTAAGGGTTAACCCTTAGGTACCTATAATGGGAGTATAAAGGAATCCCTTAGGTACCTACAATGGGAGTGTAAGGGAATCCTACAGGGTTAAGAGCCTAAGGTCCCAGCTAAGTCCCAAGGAGATTTTAGAGGTTAGGCTTTAGGAAGGGGAGTTTCAGGTCGGGGTCTGCATGATACGGTGTCCGTGCGGGGTTCAGGCTTTAACCCAAATCCCTAGAGATCCTAGTAGACCAATGTAGGTAATGGCTTAGGGTTTAGGGTTTAGGGATCCTAATAGCCCAATGTAGGTAATGGTTTTGGGTTTAGGGCTTAGGGATCCAAATAGGCCAATGTAGCTAATGGCTTAGGGCTTAGGTTTGCAAATAGCGCAATGTAGGTTAGTTATAGACTAGATTTTAGGGCCAAAGGTAGGTAATATGTTTAGAGTTAAGGCCCCACGTAGGGTATTATGTGTAGACTAGACCTGAGGACCCAATGTAGGTAACAGTATAGACTTTAGGGCCCCATGTAGGTATTACTTGTATACTTGGATCCCTAGGTAATCTTAAAACTCAGAAAACACTAAACCCTAAACCCACCTAGTTTAGGGTTTAGGGTTTTGGGCTTCTGGAAGCCGGACAAGGCTGGAGAAGCGCTCTGAAAGGGTTCATGAGGGTACACTCGCCCAAACAAACTGGAAACCCATACAGTCCCCTTTTAGAAGGACTGTATTCTTTAGAGGGCCCTTTTTGGGTTTCCATGTTAGTTTCCGTGAGTGTATATAGTATATGTTTATTTGGAAGGTCGTGAGGACTTAGTAAGTAGGTCCATAACCCCTTGGAAAATCACCCCAATTATTCCAAGCTGTAAGCTACTTACTACGTCCCCATGACCCTCCAAGTAGGGCCCACAGATTTCCATACAGCTACTTTCAGGCCCAAATATGCAAGGTGGCTGCTCAATGTGCCAGTGCCTACGGGTTTGCGGTTTAGGGCTTTTAGCTGGTTAACGGTTACCGTAAACCCAAGCCTACTTGATGGTTCATGGGGCTCAGCAGCCACGTATATATAGATATATAGCTGGGGTGCTAACCATATTTATAATGTAGGTAACCTCTATAGGCCAGCTGGGGGGTGATTAGTGGAGCTACAAACCCAAATTGATGTCGGTACTGAGTCCTACAGACCTCCAAGTAACTTGGGTGTACTCCAACACCTCGGGCTCTAGCCTTGTTCCTCAACCCGAGACCCTAAACGGCGCCTATGAGCAACCAGCACCTTGGGCTAGTTGGAGGCTCGGAGTAATAAAGAAGAGGAGCTCTATCTCCCTTAATTCAGGAAAATACCTTGAAACAAAGGAGGCAGCCTTATTATGATTTAAGGTATATACTCCCCCTTAAGTAGATAGAGTATGAGACATATGGGGATGTTATTCTAATATACCCAAAGCCATATTCGATCTACTTAAGGGGCACTGTGAGGTGTGGGATCCCATTTTCAGGGTCCGAGAGCCTTAGGATTGTAAGAGTACACCCAAAGGAAGGTGACGGCTCTCAGATCTACCTAAACCCCAAAAGTATGTAAGATAATCGCCCTACACACCTAAGAACAGCCCAAAAGGCTATAGCTCTACATACTTTGGGGGTCCAGGTACTACATATACCCTAAACCCTGAAATCCTCAAACCCCAAAACCCTAAACCCTAAGACCCTAAAACCCTAAAACCCTAAAAACCCTAAAAACCCTAAAAACCCTAAAAATCCTAAAAACCCTAAAAACCCTAAACCCAAACCCTGAACCCAAAACATT